TTTGACAAAGGCACCAAGAATATACACTGAAGAAAGGACAGCCTCTTCAGGAAATGGTGTTGGGAAAGCTTGATATCCAAGTGTAGAAGAATGAAACTAGACCCATACATCTAGACATATGCCAAAATGAACTCAAAATGATTAAAGACTTAAATATAAAACCTGAAGCTACAAAACTCCTAGAAGAAAACATAAGGGAAACACTTCAGGATGAAGGACTGGGCAAAGACTTTATGAGTAAGACCTCAAAAGCACAGGCAACAAAAGAAAAAAAAAAAAAACAACAAATGGGATTATATTAAACTAAAAAGCTTCTGCACAGAAAAGGAATACAATCAACAGGGTGAAAAGATAACCTTAAGAAAATATTTGCAAACTAAACATCCAACAAGAGATTAACATCTAGAATATGTAAGAACTCAGACAACTCAACACTAAAAAAAAAGTAATCTGATGAAAAAATGGACAAAGGAGCTGAATAGACATTTCTCAGAAGAAGACATACAAATGGCCAATGAGTATGAAAAAATGCTTATCAACAATCATCAGGGAAATGAAAATTAAAACCAAACTGAGAGATCTCAGTTAGACTGGCTATTATCAAAAAGACAGAGAATAACAAATGCTAGTGAGGATGTGGAGAAAGGAAAACCCTTCTATACTGTTGGTGGGACTGTAAATTAGTATAGCCATTGTGGAAATTAGTAATGGATATTTCTCAAACAAGTACAGATAGCATTAGTATACAATTCAGCAATCCTACAACTGGGCATATACCCGAAGGAATGGAAATCATCATGTGCAAGGATACCCGCACTCCTGTGTTTTATCACAGCTCTATTTACACCAGCCAAGATATGGAATCAACCTAAATGTCCATTGACAGAAGACTGGATAAGGAAAATGTGGTATATATACACAGTGGAATGTGTATACTACTCAGCCATAAAAAAGAATGAAATTCTGCCATTCGCAGCTACATAGATAAGCTTGAAGAAAATTATGTTAAGTGAAACAAGCCAGGCACAGAAAGAGAAATACCACATGTCCTCACTCATAAGTGGGAGCTAAGAAAAGAAAGAAAGGAAGAAAGAAAGAAAGAAAGAACAATCACAATAACATGTTGAACTTTCAGAAGGAAAGAACAGAACTGTGGTTGCTAGAGGCGGGAAAGGGGGAGGGAGGGTTAGAGAGAAATTGGCTAATGGACATAAGGAATTATTATGTTTTGTAATGATGAACATGCTGATTATCCTGATTGGATTATCATACGTTGTACACAGGTAATGATATTCAACTCTGTACCCCACAATTTTTTTTTTAATCCACATCATACAGTGAAGGATTGAATTTTTCTAGTAGCAATTTAAAAGAGATAGAGAGCAACAGAAATAGTCGTAGACATTCCAGTGGTGGAATTTCAAGGTAGAAATATTGCCATGGAAACAAAGATTTGAGTTGGAGTGAAAATAAGAATAGCAAAGGGAAGTATATTTGGAAAAAAAATGACGGAAGGAAAAATATTTTAAGTTTTACTCACTTATAATTATGTTTGCCAAGTCAGCATTCACTTTTTTTATTTAAACATCTTTTATTTTCAACATATAATTAGACTTCTAAAGAATAGATGCTTAGACAATATTTCCCACAAATACATTTAATCAATTATTTTTCAATAAAAAAGTAGATTCACATGCTTACATTGTTTCAAATATACTTAAAAGCTTTCCAATACTTATACTACATATCAGTTCTTTTATCTTAAATTTAAATTTAATTCAATTAGTAATATTAAAAAACTCTGTTCCTCAGTTGCATTGGACACATTCAAGTGCTCAATAGCCACAGGTACCTAATAGCTACTGTTTGAACAGCACAGTTCTAGACCATTTTAAGACTTTTGGTTTTTATTCTGAGCTAGACAATGATCACTGAAGGATTTTGAGCAAAGGAGTGACATGATCTGATTTAAGTTTAAATCAGCTGTGCTGGAGAGTAAATTCAGGTGAGGCAAGGGAGATCAGCTAGGAGATTACTGCAATAATTCAGGTAAGTAAGTGATGAAAGTGGCTTTGACTAGAGTGGTAGCAGTGGAGGTGGAGAGAAGTGGTAGGATTTCCAGGAACTTCTGTGTAAGACATGACTCAATCTGCTTATGAATTGGATATGGTATCAAGGATGACACAAATGTTTTAGGCCTAAAAAACTGGAACAATGAAGTTGTCTTTTACAGAAAAGATTTTTTAAGAAGCAAAATTTGGGAAGGAAGATAAAGAATTCAGTTTTGGACATTTTGAGTTTAAGATGCCTATGACACATAGAAGTGGAGATGTCAAGTACGCAGAGTTCAGGAGAGAGAGCTCAACTGCAGATAATAAAATTTGGGAGTCAGCAACACATAGATGGTATTTAAAGATATAAGACTGGAGGTGATCACCAAAGGAGTGAGTGTACAGAAAGAAGTATTAGGGTGAGGTTATGCAGCAGCAGTATTTTCAGGAAAATGCAAGTTTTGAGATTAGCCTCTAAAGAGATCATCAAGAATTGGTGGGATAGTAAACTCCTTCCAAGCAAAAGCAGCCTTAGACAACAACCATGCAAAGGCAGTGATTAGCCAACTATGGTACAGCAAATAATTTTGCTCTGCTGAAGCAAAAATATATAGCTAGCAGATGTTAAAAGATGTAAGTGATGAAAGGCTCTCATACTGGCTGGGTGGTTAGCCAGAGCTGGGAATGCAAGGGTTCTAAGGTCAGTTTGCTAGTCAACAAGTGACAACTGCAGTTAGCTTCCTGCGCATACGCAAAACCAATCAACCTGTTCTACCATAGAGCATATGTTATAATGCTGCCACATATTTCTTTTCATCTGCCATCTCTCGTTTTGCAGATGAAAAGAAACCGTTGCCCTGCACCACAAAGCCACTTAGTAGCATAGCCCCGCACCAGCGAGGATAACTGTGGAGGTGTTTTTCCCCTGAGGACACCTGAGCCCTTAAGTGGGACAGGCTGAGGGAGGGGGCTGATAAGGCGAGTGCAGGCAAGACAATCACGTTGGGAGTGTGAGTTCTGCGCAGAATTTTGACAAAGGGGAGGGTCTTGGCTTGAAGTCTAAGCAAGGAGTCATTTAAGGATAGTGGAAGGTCGTAAAAGTGGAAGTTCAAGGACAAAAAGCACTGAGATCTTGAGCTGGCGGCACGGCTGAACGTAGGGCTATGAAAGATCCTTTCTTGCCATATCCTCCCTAAGCTGGGCAGTAAGGAGCGCGGGGGACGAAAGAGTGGGGTGACGGTGGAGTGAAGTACCAACCCATAGTGCACCTTTTAGGTTCTGAAGCTGGGAGCAGCCGTCCTCACCCTATTTTCCTCTCCCGGGCAGCTCCGCCGGGGAGTGGCTACCATTCCCGGCAAAAATTCAGCCTTGTTAAACTGGAAGGTGCAGGAAAGCCGGCCTACTGGCGCTGGGGGAACGCCTGTGGAGTGCAGGAATCCCACCACCAGAGGCGCTGCGCGGATGGAGTCATGGCCACTGGCCCTCCCTGTGAGGAGCTCGCCGGTCGCAGGGGCGGGGGCGGGGACGGCACAGAGGGCGGTGCCGACGCACACGAGCCAATCACGACGGACGCTTCCACGTGGCTACATCGACCAATAGGAGATGGCGACAGTAGCGGCGGGGAAATTCAAACCTGTTTGTGGTGAAGGTTTGGGGTTCCATCTTTTCTTCCTCTCAACTCCACTTCTTGGCTGCGAATTCTGCCTCACGGACGCACCGACGAACGACGGCCACCTGTGCGTGGTCTCTTTATCGGTGCTGGTAGGTGAGGGGCGGGAGTGAGGCGGGGGCGGCTCGGAGCCGGGGGGACGACCCGGGGCGCGGCTAAAAGAGCTGGAGCGGGAGGGAGGGCTCGCTGTCCCTGCCAGTCTAGGGGGTGGGGTGATGCCGGAGATTTTGTTGAGGAAGTAAGAAGTGGGTGTGGACCTCGCTGGTAAGACGGCATGGCGCGGCATCTGCACTGGAGATCGTTACTCAAAAGACAGTCCAGTCCCTCCCGTCTGGTAGGTTTGAACTGGGAGAGGAGATGGTGGCCGTGTTCTGACAGTTACCCTTCAAACCCGACTTCAGAGGCGGGGTGATAACTTGCTGCCCATTTTATCACTCGTTTTCATTGTTAAACTCGAAGATGGGGGGCACTGATATCAGTGACCCTGAGTTACCGGGTTGATGTTTGAGAATCACAAAGATGAGACTGGCAGGAAGAAATATTGCGGACACTTTGTTGACCAAACACCACCACCATGCAGATGCTCAGTACTATACGAGTACACTAGATTCTTGGTATTAGAATGATTACGGTAGCAAATCATGATTCTGTCAGATATGCACAAGAACAAACCTGCTGATATCCCAATTATCATTGAAGGGCTGTGATGTTGATATCCTGCTTTGAAAGCACGCACAATGTGAAGATTTACTCACATAAAGCAGGTGAATAACGGAACGGTTATTCTCATTACCAAAAGAATTTTTCATGTCTGTTTGTCACTACCAGAATCTAAGCCAAACTCTCCGTCAGATTTTTTAAAAATGTCTAAATTTGCAGATGAACCAGAGAAAGTAATTCTGGAAAAAGAGTGAAAGGAAGGCATTTAGTGCATTAAAAAACAAACAAACAAACAAACAACAGAAAGGAAAGTTTAAAGTTTGAAAGGGGTCAGCAATTTTTGTTTTGTGCAATGATTTCCCCAGGGTAACTTTACTGAAGTTATACTGGGGAAGAAAAGGTGTATTTGGTCTATGAAACCTGGCTGGACAAATTTCAAAGACGTGTCCTTTGTTTTTGTGCACATAGCTCCACTAATTCTACCCTAATAACATCTGAATTTAGATGTGTACCCAAAAGTAACGCCTTGGTCTTCTGGGTTCTAATGGGCTAGTTGCAGCTTTTTTTTCTTTGATATTAGTAAAAATAAGAATTATGACTAGCTCAGTTTTTTTTCTTAGAAATGGAGATAGAAGATTTAAGTGGCAGAGAATTGACAATTGATTCCATAATGAACAAAGTGAGAGATATTAAAAATAAATTTAAAAATGAAGAACTTACTGATGAACTAAGCTTGAATAAAGTATCTGCTGATACTACAGGTGAGTCTTTCTTTTTTCTTTTTAAATAACTTTTTTGAGAGTCCTCTAAGGTAAAGGAATGAGATGTGAACCACTGTCTGGAGACCGGTTCCCACTCACTGGTTGAGCGTGGTGCGGGCGCAACACCGAGGGTTGTGATCCTGTTGCCGGTCCCTGGTGCGGGCGTGACACCGAGGGTTGCGATCCGGTTACCGGTCAGTAAAAAAGATATACCGGTCAGTAAAAAAGATAAAAAAAAAAAAAAGAAAATGACCATATCAGATGCTTATATTTTGTAAAGCTGATTTTGTTTGGTTGTTTTACAAGTAAGTTTGAGATATATAGATATGTTAGATGGGTAAGAAAGAAGGTTATGTTAGTACTGGAGCAATAAGTTTCAGAATTTTTAATGAATAAATCATTGATGGAGAATTTTCCAAGAAAGTTGATACAGGTGGTGGTTGGAGAGACTTAGGTTTTCTTTGGATAGTTAGGATGCTAAAATTATAAATTTTGCTGTTACAGCATAAAATTTTCATAGACTATATATGGTTTTTTAAAGACTGCATATAAAAGACCCACTTATTTCCAATTTTTTTCTTTCCTTTAAAACATACAGCTTTTTGAAGTAAATTAATCCCCCATAAAAGATAGATATGCAGTAAATAAGTTGCTTATATTTACATAAATTGTTAAAGTTTAAAAAAATATAAGGAGGGGCCAGCCCGGTGGCGCACTGCTACAGTGCGCCGCTTGGGAAGTGCGGCAGTGCTCCCGCCGAGGGTTCGGATCCCACATACGGACTGGTTCCCGCTCACTGGCTGAGCGAGGTGCGGGAGCAACACCGAGGGTTGCGATCCCGTTGCCGGTCCCGGGCCGGTACGGGTGCGACACTGAGGGTTGCGATCCGTTGCCGGTCATGAAAAAAGACAAAAAGGAAAAAAATATATATATATAAGGAGTTTATGTACATTGATACTGAGAATATAAATTCCTAAGTATAATTTGATGAAAAAATGCAGTTTGGTATTTGTTTTATATCTTTCTTCTGTCATGATATATTTTGTTCCCCTTATTCAGATAACTCGGGAACTGTTAACCAAATTATGATGATGGCGAACAACCCAGAGGATTGGTTGAATTTGTTGCTCAAATTAGAGAAAAACAGTGTCCCCCTAAATGATGCTCTTTTAAATAAACTGATTGGTCGTTACAGTCAAGCAATTGAAGCACTTCCTGCAGATAAATATGGCCAAAATGAGAGTTTTGCTCGAATTCAAGTGAGATTTGCTGAATTAAAAGCGTAAGTATAAGCATTTTAACCACATTTAACTAACTACTTTACACAATATGTAACTATATTACAAAGAGGGAAAATGAAAATGTGTGTCAGGATTACCTGTGAGAAAATTGTTATTTTTTGGCTAAATATTTTTACTTATAATTAACAAAGGACTAATGTAAACTCTCTTTACTATGTACATATTTTCAGAAAAGTTACATATTTTAGACTATGCCTAAAAAGATTGCTAAAAATAACTTATTAGGGTTTAATTTTACACAAAGAAAAAAAGCAATATCCCATGTCTTTTGGAAAATGGAATGAAGAATTCTCGAATTTAAGTAGCTGTGTTCTTTTTCTTAGAATGTGACTCTGAAATCTCTTATTACAGTATTCAAGAACCAGATGATGCACGTGATTACTTTCAAATGGCCAGAGCAAACTGCAAGAAATTTGCTTTTGTGCATATATCTTTTGCACAATTTGAATTGTCACAAGGTAATCTGAAAATGTTAAATCCAAATTTTAAGTAAAAGATTACTTTCCATTGTAACTGACATCCTAATATTAAATCATTTATATGAAGTGGGAATTTAAGGCAAAAGGCATTAAAGTTGGTCAGATGAGAATGTGGGGGGAAAATGCCACCTAATCATATATGCAGAGAATACTTGTTACACTAGCTCTTCTACTTGTAAGGAATAATCCAGGGAAATAAGAATGAACGTTGTTTTTGTGCTATTAGTTAGATTCAGGAATCATCTAAAGGAAAGCAGCTTCACTGAGTATTTGTCGGATGAAGGAAGAGATGTTTAAGGTAGAGTTTAGATGAGCTTTTCATATGCTATGGTTTTATAGCACCAAAATATAATTAAAATATAGCTATTGCATTAATTGGTGTTTCTCTCTTTAAATAAAAAGTAAACTGCTGTAGAAGTTTTATTTCTTGTTCACTTGGTTCCTCATAGTCTGGGCCTTTTGGACAGGACCAGGACAATCTCTTCCTCAGACATTTTTAGCTTGCCATTCCTTAGTCTTTTCTCTTTTTCTCATTTTCTGGGGCTTTTGGATATACCCTCAGTCTGCCCCCTGGCCAGGTGTTCCTGTTTTCTCTCTGCTTTGTTTCTACTGCAATTCTGATCCCATTTACCACCAGTGATAAACATATTATCACTACTGGCAGAATCCCCATGATGGTGCCCAAAGCAGGGCTTGGTCACTGGAGAGTATTCCTCAGGATTGAGGTTAGAGGAAAGAATTACACAAGTCACAGATGGTTTGAGAATACTGAACTTTTATCTGTTCAGATGATTCCTGATTCCTAGTAATCTGAATCATCATCTCCAATTTATCTTGTGCACTGTCAGGTTACTTTTAACCTGCCTAGAAAAATTGATTTCTTCCTTCTTGCTTGTTACAGAGTAAGTTTGGCCAGGCCTTTAAGACTCTTCATTGTACTTAAAATATTTTTGAAGTATTTTGGCCTCTCAACAGCAACTATAAATATTATACCTATAGAACACATAAATATTGAAAATCTTAAATTGAATTATCTCTAAACAAAGAAATAAACTTTTTACCTGTACCACTGCGGATGGTAGTAGCCTCAAGGTTAAAATTGTGATTATTTTGAGCAAGGTTGATGGACCGTCTGTCAGTAAATATGCAACATCCCTGAAATGCTATGCACAGTCTAGTGTTTGTGTATTTTTGTAGTGGTGGGGGACATTCTATAGTTTTTTATCAGACTCTCAAAGAGATCTATAACCTTATTTAATAAGCTCCCTAATTACTGGTTCTTGTCTAAGCCTTCCTCTCTTCCTTTGCTGTCCTAAAATACTCAATACATGAAATTCTATCACTAATCTCAATAAATGTGAACTTACCACTATCAACTATATTTGTATTTTTAAAAATTTGTAAACTGTCAGAAGGTAGAAGTCATTGCTTAATCATCTTTATGCCCTAAGTGCCAAGTACATAGCATAGCTTCATAGCTTCCGTAAATGTTAACAGATCTCATAAGATACATGATGTATACATTTAGTATTTATAAATCAAATATTAGGAGTAAGTTTGCAGTTGAAAGAAAATTTGTTTGGTAATCGGTAGTCAGAAAGATAAATATGATAGTCTCAGTTATTTTGCCTTTTTGGAGTGATGTAAGTAAATATGACAGCTAAAGATTAATCTTTCTCATTACATTTTTTTACACGAATCCTTTTGAGGGAAGATTTCCTTTAACAAAAGATGTCAATCTTTCCTTTATGACTAAATGTCATTATGAATGATACTTATCACAGTATGTTATAAGAGATTGACACTCTTGGGATTTTTATAACATCTAGAATTCCCTCATGTTTTTAACTCTTGTAGCTGATCTTTGCAGTCTCTTCCCGGTAACTGCTTTGTTATATTTCTGTTACTTCAGAAAATGGACAGTGGTGATAAACTAATGCTCAATTATGTCAATTACATATTACACGAGGGAACTATTTTGATATGCATTATTATCAGAAGAGAGTTGATTATATGCATGAGAAGTGAGAGATTGCTTATTTGCCTATGAAATAAAGTACATGAGCCTTAGAATAAATGTTTTTGCTTATGCCTTTTAAATTTTTTCCTAGGTCCTGATGAATAAGTATCTGGAGGGTGACGGTTGCTCATAAAATTACAATTATTTTTACTTTGTTAGGTAATTTCAAAAAAAGTAAGCAACTTCTTCAGAAAGCTGTAGAACGTGGAGCAGTACCACTAGAAATGCTGGAAATTGCCATACAGAATTTAAACCTCCAAAAAAAGCAACTGCTTTCAGAAGAGGAAAAGAAGAATTTATCAGGTAACTATTAATATTTGCTAATACTTTTCTGTGGTAGATGGTACTTCAAATAAGGATTCAGGATAGTATTTTATAGACAAATATTTTTATAGATGGTCAAAATCTAAGATTAAATTTTAAATGTAAAGGAGGTAAGAATTTTAGAAGTACATAGAAGTCTTTACTACCCTGTTGAAATTTATCTTTTTTTTTTTGCTAATCAAACTCTCATTGATAATATATTAAAAACAACTTCGATCTAAGCAAGAGAATGGCTTTTTGCTTTTATTAATTATTTTTTATTCAGAAATATAGTTTTATAACAGAAGAAACTCAGTTCATTGGTTGGAAGGTGGGAGAAATTGAAATTGTCTGAGAATGACTATGAAGTGTAATTTCCCATTTTGCCCCAAGTTATCTGCATGCCCAGGAGATGATAAAACGTTTGTGAGATAGTGGTGGTAAGTGATGCACTTGTGTTACAGTCAAAGGCTGTAAGAAACACTGTGGAAAGTTTTCATTTATCCATTGTGATTCTTTCCCCACCGTCTTGCATGTGTTACTGGATTCCCACAGTAATGTCGACTGTGTGCGTGGTGTTTATATTTCATTGCAATTTCCTGTTGAGGTTAGTTTGCGATCAGAATTGACTGATGCAGGGGGTGTAAAATAAAAAGTATTCTCTTCTCTACTCCAAAGCTGCTACTGACCAAGATCTCTTGAATATGTTCCCTCTCTCTCTCTGGCTAAGGCATCCATTAGCCATTACACAAATCATTAGTAAAAGTGTTCTTTTAAGTACTCCCTGCAGTCAGACCTAAAGAATGAGTTTATCCAGGAGACTTCTGCTATGACTGTTCTATTGAAGATCTGGAAGGCTTGGAGGGAGTCAATATGCCCACACTTTACAATTGTGGCAGGATCCAGCTGAACCTGTCTTTTTTATATATCCATTCTTTTATGTTATTGGCTTCCTCTGGTTTCATTATGGTGCCATGCGGTCGTTGGTCTGGGTAGTCAGTTTTGGAGGCTGGTAAGTCCCCAGTCTAGGAGGGCACATTTGGCAAGGGCTTTCTTGGTGGTGACTCTACAGCAACGCAGGGTTTCACATGGTAAGAGAATGGCCTGACCAAGAACAGCTTTTTGCTTTTAGAAATACAGAGTATCCTTTTACCCTGGGGAAACAGTTATATAATTAAAGAGAATTCGAAATAATTGTTAGAGAATTATCTTAATAATATCTTCATGTCTGCATATCTTACTTGGGGACAAATATTTACTATAAATTGACTTTTTAAATATTCTTATTTGTAAGATTACCTTTTTGTATATTATGTATTTCTAAATTTAATCATAATTTCAAAATTTTTACAGCATCTGCAATATTAACTGGCCAAGAATCATTCTCCAGTTCACTTGGACATTTACAAAACAGGAACATCAGTTGTGATTCCAGAGGTCAGGCTACTAAAGCCAGGTTTTTGTATGGGTAAGGAAACAATCAATTTTTTAAATGTTTACCATCTATATAAATATATCTATATATATTATTTTCATGAAACTCCATGTGTGAGGTCACTTCAGAAAGTTCATGGAAAAATAGAATTGAAAGATAATATGAATCATTTCATGAACTTTTTGAAGTATCCTCATATCTACATATATGTTTTCATGTAAATATGATAACAATGTTTAGCAGCTGGGCCGGCCTGGTGGTGCACTGCTATAGTGCGCTGCTTGGGAAGCGCGGTGGCGCTCCCGCCGAGAGTTCGGATCCCACATGCAGACCGGTTCCCGCTCACTGGCTGAGCGAGGCGCGGGAGCAACACCGAGGGTTGTGATCCCGTTGCCGGTCCCGGTCCGGTACGGGGGCGACACTGAGGGTTGCGATCCGTTGCCGGACACGGAAAAAAAAAAAAACAATGTTTAGCAGTAAAGTGGATATACATATTAATATTATTCTTTGAAAAATTGGGGATATTTTCTTTGTGTTTAGAGAGAACATGCCCCCACAAGAGGCAGAAATAGGTCATCGAAATCCCTTGAAACAAACTAACAAAACTAAACGAGTAAGTTATATTCAATCTATTTTGATTATGGTGGTGATATTGAAGTCTTTGTTTATTTCCCAGTTGGTTACTTAATCTTTCAAAACATTTCTAGTCATGCCCGTTTGGAAGAGTCCCAGTTAACCTTCTAAATAGCCCAGATTGTGATGTGAAGGCAGATGGTTCAGCTGTGCCAAGTTTCATAAAAAGGTATGTTTGGGGCCGGCCCCGTGGAGCACTCGGGAGAGTGCGGCGCTGGGAGCGCAGCGATGCTCCTGCCGCGGGTTCGGATCCTATATAGGGATGGCCGGTGTGCTCATTGGCTGAGCGCGGTGCGGGCGACACCAAACCAAGGGTTGCAATTCCCTTACCAGTCATGAAAAAAAACAAAAAAAAAAAAAAAAAAAAGTATGTTTGAGTTTTAATTTTTTTAATTTGTTGTCAATATTTGAGGATTAATCGCAGAATGGTCTTTTACTGAGTAATAGTAATTACTAAATTTTAATAGTAATTATTAAATTTTTATTAAGTATTACAAGTTACTGAGTCTCTAAATGCTGTTAGGAACAAAGGGATAAGTAGAAAAAATGACTGTTTGCTTTCTTACTCATTAAAAATATTCATTTAAAAAACTATTAAAAAATTAGGAAGCATGTTGGAAAAATAGTCAACATGAAACTTAAAAGACTGCAAGCATCCCTGGGGTAAAAACTCCTGATGTTTGAGCATTTCTCTATTATGGGTACCCTCTCTGGTAAGAGTCTCTTCCTAGTGTGTTTGAGAATATTCACAGCTGGGATGGAAGGAGGTCTAGAAAGAAATATATTTTCCATTTAGTTCAAGGTGAATAGCTATCACTGAGAAAGATGATTTATTCATCATTTGCTTATGAATCTAGGGATTCAAGAAGTGGGACAGGTTAGGTAGAGATGAAATATCGTTCGGGATTCAAGAAGTGGGACAGGTTAGGTAGAGATGAAATATCGTTCATCACTTCTAATTTGTTCCCCTTCCCTCAATTTGGATGTTTATTCCCTTTAAAAAAAAAAAAAGTGGAAATATAGCATTCTTGCTTAGCTAAAGGAATGATTTTTTCCGGTCTATTCTTAACTCTAACCACCATTTATAATATTATTTATATTGGAAAAGGCTCCTTGGATTCCAGAGAAACATTTTGAAAGTAAACTTTAAAAACACAACTGATTGTTTTTAGTTGTTGTCTTCTATAATTAAATTACTATTATATCTAGGCCTAGACCATATATTGAAATATATATATATATATATATTTTTTTTTTTTTTTGGCAGCTGGCTGGTACGGGGATCTAAACTTTTGACCTTGGTGTTATTAGCACCATGCTCTAACCAAGTGAGCTATCCGGCCAGCCCTAACTACTGGTATTAAAAGAGAGTTACGGTTGTCAATGTTAAATTTCAAAATCTTACTTCTGTTGTCTCATCTTGTTCATATCCATTTCAAATACCTAGCTAAAGAATAAAGGAGACTTTCTCTCACTCCGCCCAAAATAAATGAAACCAAAAAAGATTCCAGCCATTTTATTGGTGCCTATTATGCTGGACTGTATGTTAGGTACTGTGGAGGCCCACAAAAGAGTTTGTACCCTGATTCTCACCCTTAAGCTACTGGCAGTTTGAAAGGTACATACTTTTTCTTTCCCACATTCTTACCTTTACATCAACTATTAGTTATTGGAGTAACAATGAGTTACTCTAATGAAGTAGGTAGGCAGTCACCTGTCTCTTTATCGCTTTTGTCACTGCTGAGCACCTAATTTTTTTAGCTTAGTCACCTTTGTATTATAATCATATCACTTTTTGAAATGCCTTTTAAAGATATTTTTCCAGTTTAAAAAAGTAAGTATACTGTTTAAAAGCCAAAGTTAAGATGAAAAAAATAAAACATTGAAAAGATAAGTTCCAAATTAAATAGTAAAATTATTTTTTTCCATGGGTAATAGACAGATCTCTGGATCAGAATGCCGAGATTTGATTGTGGCTGCATCTAAATCAAGTGGAAATGATTCTTATGAATTGAGAAATTTAAAGGTATTTTAATTTTTAAATCTATATGAAGCAAGGGTTACTGATCTAGGATTTATAGCGTTTTTTCTGGGGAAAGGGTCTATAGTTTATATACTGTATCTCTAGCAGTGTTCCTGATACCCCAAGAGGTGTAAGACCACCAATGGGAAGCGGTACAGAAGTCCTACATTGTGTTTCTCTAAAATTAAGGTGACAAAGCAAGGATCAATGATCTCTTAGGAGAACCATGAAGTAACATTTATTAGGCATAATTTTAAGCAGATTAGTTGGCCTGCGATTGGGAATACAGTAGCTAGGGAAGCTGTTGCCCCCAGGTTTTGTTTCTTGGTGTGTTTATTTTATTTTTTATATTATTTTTATTTAGTTTTTGGCTGCTGGCCAAAAAATCAGATGATTCTGGTAAGACATCTTAGAAAACAATGAGAAATAAGTTGTGTCAGGGCAGAGTTGAGAGCATAAGTACAGTCACGAGTCACATACCGATGGGGATATGTTCTGAGAAATGCAACCTTACGTGATTTTGTCATCGTGTGAATATCATAGAGTGTACCTCTACAAACCTAGATGGTATAGCATACTACACACCTTGAGCTCCTTCCTAATCTTATGGGACCGATGTCACTTGAGTATATGTGGTCCATTGTTAACTGAAACATTCTGTAATCAATCCTGACCTCCTGATATGGCAGAGAAACTGTGTGAACTTCAAAGACAGGAAATAATTTTGGTTCCTGGTGCACTGCGATTTTTAGGGGTTATATAAGTATTGTACTTGAGTTCCTGGCATCATGATGTGGGTTTTTTCAATTTTGTACTCTTTATAATGCCTCTCTCTTTCATGATCTATGCTTTAAAATACTAATTTTTTCTAGTCAGGGGTATCCTAGAGAGTAGTGCATAATTTTTTCAAAAAGTTTACTATGTGGATTTAAAATAACTGTTGTCTTATGGTTGTACAAATATTAATATTGACTAATGCTGGGTTTTTTGGCTTTTTCTTTTTTTGGTAAAATACAAATACAGTAACAAAATACTTAAATTTTGTCTATTGTCATGAGGCATATTCTCTGTCGAACTCAAACTTTCTAACCCTCTCTCTTTTTAAGTGAAATACATCTTAGCAATTGATTAATATGTCCATTGAAAGAAAACTTGCCATGTTTGTGGTTATGACCATTCCTATTGCTCTAATCAATAATTCAGGCAGTTATTCTTTTCTGGGAGTTTGTGAGTCTATATGTAATTATATGAGTAATAGATATTTTTTCTAGCAGTCTTTTCACGTAAGACTTTAGTATATTGAACAGTAAGACAAATTGGTACTACTACTGTTTATGAGACTTTGATATCTTTTTTTTTTCATATAGTCTATTCAAAATATCTATTCCAAGGAACCTCTGGTGTCAGATGAAAAGAGTTCTGAATTCATTACTGATTCAGTAACCCTGAAGAATAAAATGGAAACAAGTCTTCTAACTAAATTAGAAGGTAAGAGTGACAAAATCAATAGACTTACTTTTTTAATTAAGAAAACCACTATAGGGGTGGCTGGTTAGCTCAGTTGGTTAGAGCTTAGTGTTATACCACCAAAGTCAGATATCTGCCAAAAAAAAAGAAAGAAAACCTCTTTATAGCTTGAGAAACTAGCTACCTAAGAATTGTGATGTGAGACTGTCGAAGATGTTCGTTTATCTTTATTTCAGTTTAGTTATATAGAGTGTACAAAAAGTATTGAATCCTGTAGCTAAGAAAGTTTATTTGCCCAAAAGGTGCATAAAAGGAAGAGCAGAGGGAAAATACAATGGGTCTGACTTATTTTTCTCAGTTGGCTTGACAATATATTCTGGTAAGGACACAGAAGCTAACAACCCTCCCTTTCAACTTTAACCGAACATTTGGTTTTCCACTGCTTGGGTACCGTGATAAATGTTCTAGGCATATGTAAATAAATAAGGCAGGGTCTCAACGAGGTTGCAGTTCAGTGTGGGAGTTATACAGAGATATATAGATATAATGCTGTGTAGAATGTAGAGATTGTCATGAGAGCCACATAAATGTTACAAGAATTCAGAAGAGGGAGAAATTTAAGGAACTAATTTGGTTTAGGGGAAATAAGGAAATATTCTGTGGAGAAGATGTTTGAAGAACTGTTAGGATTTAAGTGGAAGAAATAGCAGTAATACAGTATTTCAGATAGAGAGAATAGCATAGACAAAAGAATAAAATGTTTTAGGAACAAGAGACTGTCTAGTATGCTGAAAACTGTAACACAGGAATATAGAAGTGGGAAATAAGAGTCGGTAGGCTTAAATTTTGTATTTTTTTTAGATGTCAGGGTACCATTAAGTATTTTAAACAGGATCATTAACAGGCTGATCATTGTCCAGAGAAAAGTTGCCAGATTGGATGTACTTTAGTCCCCACTTATCTGTGGGGGTGAGTTCCAAGACCCTCAGTGGATGCCTGAAACTACTAAACCCTATATATACTCATATTATGTTTTTTCCTATACATACATACCTACAATAAAGTTTAATTCATAAATTAGGCATAGTAAGATATTAACAACAATAACTATAATAAAATAGAACATATAGAAATATACTGTAATAAAAGTTATGTGAATGTGGTCTATTTTGTGGTGAAGACTCTTGAGAAAATATATTTTTAACTTTAATGTATTTGAATTTATTGGTCTTTGCCTTTGTGGCGACTACTTTGTCTTTAAACAAATTTTTCTGTATTCCAAGGTCATAAAGATATATCCATATTTTTTAGATTTATCATTTTTACCTTTCACATTCAAATCTATATTTTATCTGAGTTTAACATATATATATGTATGTGTAATATTAAGTGTCAAGATTCATTTTTTTGTTTTTTCCCCATGTGGATATCCAGTGACCCAGCAGCATTTATTAAAAAGATCTTCTTTTCCCTCATTGATTTGTTGTAAATTAGGTGATTCTATGTATGGCTTCTGGTTTTGGATTCTTCTCCATTCCCTAATACTTTTGTCTGTCTTAGTGCTAATACTGTCTTATTAACTGCAGTAAATCTTAAAATCTCTCAGTGTAAATCTACCAGCTTTGTTCTCCTTCAAGACTATTTTGGCTATTCTAGCCTTTTGGATTTCCATACAAATATTAGAATCTATCAGTTTCCACTTTTTTTAAAAAATGGGATCTTTACTCAGATCTAATTAAAACTACAAAGAAATTTGGGACAAATTGACATCTTTACAGTTGACTTTTCCTGTCCACTAATCTGGCATATCCTGCCTTTATTTATAATATCAAGAGAATCATTTTCTGTGTGGAGATCTTGCAAATCTTTTGCTAGATTTATTCCTGAATATCTGATATTTTTTGATGCTATGATAATGAGTGGTATTGTTACCGGACTCATGTCCGGCTGCCCGACCCCTTGAAAAGGAAAGAAAAAATTCAGAAGTCAAACAGTTAGTGTTAGAAAAGCAGCCATATTCAGCTGAAGGAGATGGTAGGCTATCCCATCTCAAAGACTTACATTTACTGAGGGTTTTTTTAAAAGAAGGCTTGAGGGAATGGAATGTGGGAGGTGAAAAGCAGGAGAGCAGGAGATGTGACTTACGAGGGGTCCATTTCTATGGGTCAGGTATGAGGTCTTGCCAAGGATCCCATCTCAAAGACTTACATTTACTGAGGGTTTTTTTAAAAGAAGGCTTGAGGGAATGGAGTGTGGGAGGTGAAAAGCAGGAGAGCAGGAGATGTGACTTACGAGGGGTCCATTTCTATGGGTCAGGTATGAGGTCTTGCCAAGGCCTCATCTGGTTTCTGTTCTCAACTTTGCTGTTATCTCAGGACCTTGCAAGATTTTGATTTGTGCTGGTGTACTTGGCTGGTGCCCAAGGTCAGCTTCAGTCATTTGGCCTTGATCATTTCTCAAAACTCTAGAAGTCTCAAAGAAAGAACTGTTACCTTTGCAAAGTATTAATTAGCTTCTCGACCTTGTTTTCTTACTTAGTGAACGAGAGAAGAAAGTCAGGGGATGGGAAGCAAGAGTGGAGAGAAAAAAACTGTCCTTTTTAAAATCCTCCCCCACTCCACAGCCCAGGCAGCTTTAGGTTCCAACATGGCTTCAGTCCTGCACACTCCAACAGTACCTTTTTCTAAAAAAAGTTATCTTCTACTTCTTTGTCACTAGTACATAAAAATACAATTGATTTTTACTTACTGATCTTATATGTAGTGACATTGCTAAATTCATTGAGTAATTCTAATAGTTTTCCTGTGGATTCTTTGGATGTTTGTAGATACATAATCATGGTGTTTGAAACTAGTATAACTTTTTTTCTTTCTAACTCTTTCAACTGTCATTTCTTTTCTTTGCCTTATAATTGCTAAGACCTCCAGTATAATGATGAATAGAAGGGATGATGACAGGTGGTGGTCTTGTCTCATTCCTTATTATTCTAAGGGAAAGCTTTCAGTATTTTCCCCTTAGTCAGATGATTGTTGTAGATTTCTGTAGCTACTATTTATCAAATTCAGTGAGTTCTGTTTTATACCTAGATTACTAATTTTTTTTTTTTTGATTGGGAGTTTAATTTTATCAAATGCTTTTTCTGCATCTATTGAGTTAATTACATGTTTTCCTTTTCTATTATTTTGGCAAATTACATTGATTTTCAAATATTAAGCAAACTTCACATTTAGGAAGAAACCTAATTTGGATATAATTTATTATCTGTTTTATCTATCAATTGGTAATGTTTTATTCAGGATTTTTGCATCTATTATCAGGAAAGGACTGGAATTTTGATATTTATAGAATATTAAATATGTTGGTGAGGCATTTTTTGTTTGTAGACCCTTAAGAGAGCAAATTACAAGCTAGTATAAGGTAACATTTTTATGTTAATCTAGAGGTCTACGAAAAGTAGTGAATTAGCTTCTCTTTATTAGTAAGACTTTATAAAATCTACTTGTTTTTAAATTTTTACTTATTTATTTATTTACTGGTAAAGACCTGAAGCATTTAAATCTGGAACGATCTTTGACAAAGCTCTGAGTAACAACTTAGGAAGGTGCCTTTGTAAAATTGACTTGCTGAAAGTAAATTATCAGTATCTGGGTTAAAGCTTTTAGTTTATATCTTTCTGTTTTTAAGAGCAAAATACCAATACAGTTTGTTCTGTTGTTTAGGCTTAGTTTTGTTATTGTCAAATATTCTTGCTTTTTAATGACAACAACAATAAATACAATTTCAGAAACTAAAGAACATCAAGAACCAAAGGTTCCAGAAAGTAAACAAAAACTATGGCGATCTAAGAGAAAGTCAGAATGTGTGAACCAGAATTCTGTTGCATCTTCAAGTCAGTGGCAGATTCCAGAGATAACCCGAAAAGTTGATATAAAGGTAACTTTCTTTCCTCCTAAAGTACAACATTGCTATTGTTCATAATGCACTTCTGAAACTTGATGATCATGTTAAATTTTTTTTTCTTTTATTAAAGACTATGTACCATACTTAGTGGAATAGTTTATTTAAAGGATTTTTTTTTTAATCATTCACAAAATGATAATCAGTAGCAGTCATAGGTTCGGTAAGAATGTATATCAGGCTGAATTCTTTTCTATTTTTCATAGCGTTTACAGATTGCTGATAGACTGGTGCAGAGGTTGGCAAACTACAGCCTGTGGGCCAAATCTAATTACCAGCCTATTTGTGTAAATAAAGTTTTATTGGAACACTGTCACACCAATTCATTTACTTACCTATGGCTGTTTTCGCCCTGTAACAGCAAAACTGAGTAGTTGCAGTAGAGACCATCTGGCCTGCAAAACCTAAAATGTTTATTATCTGGTTCTTTACAGAAAACTATATGCTGGGGCCGGCCCGTGGCTCACTTGGGAGAGTATGGGCTGATAACACAAGGCTACATGTTTAGATCCCTATATAGGGAAATATTTTTTTGACTTTAACATCTATAAATATTTCCTAATAACTAGAGTTGTCCCCAAACTAAAGTGAACCTCTGTAGATAGTAATTAGTTCTCAGTTACTAAAAGTATTCAAGCAAATGAGTTCTTTATTTGGTTGAGATGCTGTACAGGAGGGGTTAGCAGACTTTCTGTAAAGAGTTAGTAGGCTTTACAGGCTCAGACTGTCTCTGTTACAACTTTTTAACTCTGAACTTAGAGCATGAAAACAAAAGAGCCATAGGCAATATGTAAACAAATGGGCATAGCAGTGTTCCATTAAAACTTTGTTTACAAAAATAGGCGCTGGCCCTGGCCAGATTCAGCCTTCAGGCTTTAGTTTGCATTCTCTTGCTGTAAAAGATGTTTATTCATCATTATTTGGAATTTGTATGAGATGAACTCTACAGGTTCTATGTCTTTTATTAGGTGCGCACAAGATAGGCATTTGGCATTCCAATTTTGCTAAATAATTGGTATTTGGCTATATTGGGGGCAGAGGGTAAATGGTATAGTATTATTGATTAAAGAAAGGCTATTTTTCAGAAGCCTTTTTTAGATTATAAAAGAGAACTTTTTTAGATTATAAAAGTTTAGTACCTGTTACAGTAGTTTTGATGGGGGAGGATGTTAGATCCTGTTTTATTAAACAATCCTGTTTTGTGTGTGCCTTCTCTCTACTTGGAATTAGTTCGAGCAGAAATATTAGGCTTAAGATTTTAGAGTAAAAGAGCTATACTAAAAAATTTTTGAAAGTCTGAAATGTACGTACCTACCTGTTTTGGTATGATTTTGTATTTAATATTTTAATTATTATCTTTTAAGAGTTATAATGTTTGTAAAACTATTGAACAGGTGACTAATTTAAAAACTAAATTGTAGCGGTTTTTAATTTTGTTTTAGCAGAAACATGTCACTTTTGAGCAACCTGTCTTTTCAGTTTCAAAGCAGTCACCACCTATATCGGCATCCAAATGGTTTGATCCAAAATCTATTTGTAAGACACCAAGCAGCAATACCTTGGATGATTACATGAGCTGGTAATTAATTACTTTTGGCACCTACCTTGGGAGAGAGGGTGGTACAGTAGAAATAACATGGGCTTTTAGGCCAAATAGTCTAAGATTGAATCCTGCTCTTACTTTAAAGACTTTCCATATTCATATTTTTCTTACCATCATTTTTTTCATTTGTAAAATGGGGAAGGGAGGAAGGTTACTACAATAATATATATTTTTAAGGATTGTTGTGAATGTAGTCTCTGTCACATTGCAATTCGTACCTACAACCTATAAATACCCTAAGAGTGCAAAACTTCTTGATAATCATGCATTACCACATGGATACCGCTCTAATTGAGAGGTATTTTAAAGGTTAGCATTTTTAGAGCAGATCAAGGGTGGATAAATTTTAGCATAGGAGGTGTTCACTGGAATGTGGCAGTTTCTGGAAAAGATTGGTTGTATAGTTCATATGGCTCTGGAGATGTTCAAAGTTGTAAGACCCGAATGGATAGGAATGAGGGGTGAGTGAAGAAGTTGGATGGTCAGTGCTGTTTAACAGGAAATAAGGATATTGCAAAGCAAATAAATGACATTTCAGAGAAGGGAAATAAAGAGATGTGGTACATCATAACCTTCAACTAGTGGCTACATTTTTAATGTCTTAGGGGATAGCTTAAGTTTGTGACCTCTTTTTGCTTTTCATTTTCATAATGTAATCTTTGATTTTAATTAGAACTGGCCTTAGAGGTTTTATAACCCAGCTTCATAACTATTTAATACAGTTTTGCTATATATTGCCTCATTTTGTTATACATACAATATTTTAAGGAATGGTTGTTAACTAAAATAGTGATATATGTATTTCTTGTGATATTAGATTATTTTTTGTTAACAAATATCTGTAGAGTTTCTTTGTGTTAACCACTGTTCTGGGTGCTGAGGATAATCATATCCAAACAGGACAAAGTACAAATTTGTACTGATTGTATTTAAGCTCAAAAGCCAAACTCATCTGATGTAATTGGCCTTCAGATGTTTCTAGCAGGGCATTATAGAATGTTATTGTTAAAAGGCACTCATGAAGTCTATGGTCAGCCATAAGCTAACCTTTGCATTGGCTAAATACTTGTAAAATAACCCTAATTCTATGTTTTAAATGCCATCTTACTTATTTTACTAACAAGGATTTGTCTGGGTACAAAAAATTACTTTCAGAAAGAATTTCCCAAAATAAAATATCTGATGGTGGTATATCTAGAATAGATATCAGCTGTATTATGAAAACTAACTTGGGTTCTGTTTGATGTATTACTTTTAAGTTTACATCAACATTTTAAAACACACAAAAACTGAATCTGAATCTTGTTTTTTAAATTTTGATGTTTTAAATTTAAAAAAAATCTTTTTTAGTTTTAGAACCCCACTTGTAAAGAATGACTTTCCACCTGCTTGTCAGTTGTCAACACCTTATAGTCAGCTTGCCTATTTCCAGCAGCAACAGCAGCAAATTCCCTCTACGCCACTTCAGAATTTACAGGTTTGATAAGCTTTATATATGATGGTATATGTTGCTACAATCAGTTTCATGGATTTTATTTTTACAGCATCTAGTTGTTAGGAAAGATCTTAAGGACTTGTCCATTCTTATTCTCATTAAGAAAAATTTTTATAATATCCTGATAAGGGTGTGCCTCATGACTTTGGTTTTCTTTTTGTTGTTGGTTTTTTGGCGGCTGGCTGGCCTGGGGATCCGAACCCTTAACCTTGGTGTTACAAGGTGATGCTTTAACCAACTGAGCTAATAGCCCAGCTAATAGCCCTGCCTCATGACTTTGAGAGGTTAGTTATTTGAGAAGCTAATGAGGCTGTTCTTATTAGGCCAAAGGATCCAGATTGAAAGCTGAATAAAATTTCTCTTATAATCAAGGTTACTGTTTATTTTATTTCCCTATTTAAGTGAGCTGTTAGTGAGCAGCTTCATTTGTTGATTAATATGGAATTTATTTGGAAAAGTAAGTTTTCAACAATATTGAATAGCAATATGAGGTCAATAACAATATTGACTAGACATATAATTATTGTAAACTAAGAGAAGAATGTTTTGCGGATAAGGTGATTGCATCAACATCTGAAGGGGAATGAGACACTCCTGACATCAATAACTAAAGTTAGTTTCTAATAACTGTGTGAAAGGCAGCTTAATACTGGTAAAAAGAAAACATGGGCCTTGGAGACAGACTTCCTGGGCCTCACTACTTACCGAGGTGTGTGGTATTTTGCAAGTTACCTAAGCTCTGCCCATTTCATCATCTGTTAAAAAGGACATTAGCTAATATATGTGTAATTCTTAAAACAGAGCATGGCACTTAGTAAATAATATTAGCAGCAACTATTATTTAAATAAAAACAAAGAAAATGAGTAATTAACTATAAAAATCAATTGATAAAAAGATTTAGTTGACAGAAGGTAGACAGTGAGTATCAGGGGCTGAGGGGGTAAGAATGGGGTGTTATTGCATATGAGTTTAAAGTTTCAGTATTTGATGATGAAAAAGCTCTGGAGATGGATGGTGGTGATGTTTGCATAATAATGTGAATGTACTTAATGCCACTGTATTGTACTTAAAAATGATTGAAATGGTAAATTTTATGTTATGCATATTTTGCCACAATTTTTTTAAAAATTAGCTGACAGTAGATGATGCTAACCATGGGAATAAATGGTAGTGTTTTGAGGATTGAAACAATATAGTAAATCACAGAGGAAAAAGTGAAGGATGATCAGGTTTGCCCATATATTGATTCAAAGCACGTTTATTGAGCTATTTTTAGTGTCAGGCCCTGTGTGAGTTAAAATCTAGAAGGCAAGTCAGAGATAACAAGGGGAGGAGCTTGAGAGAGACTTCTAGAAGAAGCCAGTGTCAGGAGGGAACTGAAAAGAGGCCAGAGTGTGGCTAGGGGTCAGGAAAGGAAAAGGTTCTGCTGAGCCTTTTAGGTTTTACTCTAAAAGGGATAGGAAGCTGTGGAAAATATTGAAGCAGAGAAGTGAAACGACCAGATTTTCATTTTTTTTTTTTTTTGTTGTTCAACATTTTATTGCATCCTCTGGCACAGTCCTTGGCATATATTCTGTGGAGTGAAGTCCTGCAGTCCCTTTTTTCATAATCTGTACCAGGCCTCATTGTCTCTTGCTTCAACCCCTCTCTTGCCAAAACTCTCAACAACCTTGCACTAACATGTGCATGGTGTTTCGTGGCTTCAAAACACCTTCATACAATTTATCTCATTTTCAGTCTTTCCAACAGCTCTTTTAGATATGTAAACACAACTTTCAACATAACGTCAGTCCCTACTAATTTGTATAAATGGTCAACGAAGTTTGTGACCTCATTTCCTCTCATTTACATCTTGAGCCTTACTAGTAAATTACAGTTTTGAGAATTATCCAACTGGTAGCCATCCGTAATATATATTCAAACAAACAAACAAATAAAAAGATTAGCTAGGGAAGAAACTTTTAACATCACCATTGCTTTCTGTATCCAATTCAATTCTCCTGACCTTAATCTCTTAGCAAAATGGTTCTCAAACGTTGGACACGTTTTCAAGTGCAAGGTGACGAAGGGCTATGTGTGGCATGGTAAGCAGTATTTGATGGTGAGACATTGAAGACTTCTGAGTAGTAACAGATTTGCCTGTGAGAATAATCACTTCTGAGATAACAAAGGTCACACCTGGAGTTAGGGATGCCAGTTTGGAGGCTATTGCTCTGTAAAAAGCAGGAAATTACTGGTTCCTCATCATTGTAATTGCAGTTGGGATGGCGAAGAGCATATCAATTAGAATTATCTAGGGTTGGTGTTTGATTGGACTCAGTGAGTGGGGTGGGGGATGGGAGAGAATCTAGTGTCATTCTATTGTTATGTTTTGGGCAACAGGTGGATATATTTACCAATATAGTGAATAACAGGAGGGAAGATGAGGGCAAACATGTGGGGTTTGATTTTAAAATGATTAAATTTGAGTTACCTTTGTAACATGTAAAGAAAGATACTTATGGAATGGTCAGCTGGCCAAATAATTGTTAATTGTGGTTGGTTCTGGAGCTCTAGAGAGGAGTCTGTATTGGAAACACAGATTTGGGGAGTCATCAGAAAATAGGGATTTGAGTTTTATTCAGACCTTGTTTCAACTTGGTTAATCAGCCAATCAGGAGCTTTTGTTTCAACTTCTTTATCAGCTCAGAATAAGACCTCAGCACTCCATCTGCTCAAGGCATTTATAGGTACACAGAGATCTTCCAGCGAAGGGAAGGGATGAAGGGGTAAGTTGTATAGTAAGTACATCAGTTGAAAGTTGGCTAGGGAAGATGCTGAAGTGTGAGAAATTAAGTAACTTGCTAAATATCCCACAGCACAAGAGGGGGAGCATTGCTGAAACGCATTTAAATAAAGAGGTGCCAGGAAAAAAGAGTAGAATACATCAGTTGAAAGTTGGCTAGGGAAGATGCTGAAGTGTGAGAAATTAAGTAACTTGCTAAGTATCCCACAGCACAAGAGGGGGAGCATTGCTGAAACGCATTTAAATAAAGAGGTGCCAGGAAAAAAGAGTAGAAAAGAAAGATGAAAAATGATAGCTTGTGAGTTTATATGTTGGATATTAGGTGGTTTTTTTTCCTCCTTAAATTTTCTATCATGTTAAGTAAAAGCTAGTTAAAAGGGGAAAACCTTGGAAGTTTGTGTATATTAATTTAATAAGCTTATTTCTTTCATTAAAGTATGTAGAGCAAGTTCTCTTTTTAAAATATTGTACTGTATCTAATTACTTAAGATTTAGATAATTTCAAAATTGAAAGCATTTCACTGTGCCAAGTGCAAGCTAGTTTCTTAGGCATAGTCTTTGAACCTTTATTTATATAATTTTAATTATTTAGATTTCAGCATCCTCTTCAACAAATGAATGCATTTCAGTTAAAGGAAAAATCTATTCTATATTAAAGCAGATAGGAAGTGGAGGTTCAAGTAAGGTAAGTATCTTAAATACTTAAGATATGAATAAAAATATTTTAAACTTTCTTTTCTTTTTCTTTTTACCTATGGGGCTCTTTTTTCTTAAGTTCTAGGAGCCTATGTTGTCCTTGAGACAAAAAAGCCTTCTCATCCCTTGCTCTCCTCTTCCCCCTACCCCGCACAAATAACATATCCTCTTTAGACCTGCCCCCTTAGTCCCTATCTCTTGCCTTTCCCTGCAATGTTCTATGCTTCCGAATTTCTTCTCTAATAACATGAACATTTACTTGGAGTGGAAAATGACCACAAGTATTGTCACAGAAGGATCGTTCTAAAAGTGAGTCAGAACATGATATAAATTAAAATTACTAATATGCTTAGGGATCATTCAGAAAGGAATTTAACTAATAGATTTTGTTGTATTTTGAGATTTTCATTTCAAAAACAATAACAAATGAATTTCTGGGATTAGATTATTTTCTAAATTCATCTAAGTTCTAAATTATATGATTTTAATTCCCTGTGGATTGAAAGCATCTTAAGTGTTATCTAAACTTACCATCTTTATTTCTCATTCCCATCTCAGATTTTTGTCAGATTTTTGCCTTCATCACTCACCAAAACAACTAAAATTAAAATCACTAATGACTTCCATATTTTTGCCAAATGTAATTCTTAGGTTTGATTTTGAGTTACTTAGCAGCATTTGGGACAGTTGATTATTAGTTTTTTTTTTCACTTGGCCCCTCTTGTTTTCTTTTTTTCAAATTGACCATTTCTTTTCAGTTTTTCTGATGTCCCTGACCTCAGTTGTACAGTTCCCCACAGCTCAGTCCTAGACTTCTTTTCTCCCTTAAGCTCACTCCCTTGGTGTTTTCTTCCAGTTTCATGGGTTTAATACCATGTATATGTTGACAATTTACATTTTTAGCTCAGACCTCTCTTTTGAATGCCAAACTTCTACATCCCACTTGACTGTTCAGCATCTATTCTTGATGTCTTCTAGGCGTTTAAAACAATGTGTCCAAACACAACTCTTGCTCCATAGTCTTTCCCATTTCAGTAAATGTCAACTTCATTCTTCCAATTGCTTGGCCAATAACTGATTGATTCCTTTTAGTCTCATAGACACATTCAGCCAGTCAGCATATCTTATTGGTTCTACCTGAGAGTATCTTCGTAATCTATTTGTCATCATCTCAGTGTTATCACTTTGGTCAATGCAACTATTATCTTCACCTGGATTATTACAATATCCTGCTATTCAGTCTCATTAACTCCGTCCTTACCCTTCTGGTCTATTTTAACATAACAGTTGATTTTTCTCCAGGTATCCTCATGCCTTTGCTCAAGTGTCTTCCTTACCCACACTATAAAAGTACAACTCCTACCTTCCAGTCACTGGTGTTCTTCATTCCCTTCTCCTCTTTATTTTTGTCTGTAGTTTACCTTCCAACATGCTTTGTAATTTATTTATTTGGTTTGATGTTTGTGTTCTCCTGCACTTGAATGTGAGCTCCGTGAAGAGAGGGATATTTATCTTGTTTGCTCAGTGATGTTGGCCCCATTATCTAGAACAGAATAGGGACTGAATTCATTTGTTGAATGATGAACTGGCCCTCCTCAGCTATTTTGCTATTATAAGTTGTTAATGATGAATACACAAAACAAAAGTTGTTGGGCTCATTTTAAGTTTCACTGTAACTTTCTAAGCCAGCTAAAAATAACTAGTCTTGTTTAAGGCTCCCTTGTTAACTTACTAAAAATAAGGTATGTACATTATTATATGTACCAAGTCTTCAGTAAATATTGTTTTTTTTCGTTATACATTTCCTTTGTCCTTTCCTTTGCACCAGATTTCAGTCACAGGAATAAAGGAACAATACCACTGATTTTTATCAATCTATTTGAATTAGCTGATTTAATTGCTTTAATGGAAATTCTTTGCTTAGTATTTATCACTTATTAGTTATTGGCTATATCTTAATAGTGTCAAGGTATTTATTTAGTGGCATGTTTTCAGAGGATGTACAAGTAGTATTAATGGTGTTTTAAACATTTTTTTTTCTTGGAGTATAACGAAGGTATAAGCTACTTAAGTCAAGGGCCGAGTGTTAAAGCTGTGACTGGCTCATATTTTCTGAGTTCAGTTAAATTATCATTCATTGTAATTATTATGATGGAGTTAAAATAAATTGACACACCTCAGAGAAAAAAGGGTTACATACTTTATGAAACTAACACCATTTATGCTCTGCCTATTCCAGAGTTTAGGCAGGGATTAATTTATACTGTATTAGGAGCATCTAGAACAGTCATGGAGTTAATAAGAATGGTCAACACACTGGCCTATCTAGTTCTACTTTCATTAACTTCCCATGAAACTGACAAATCGTTAACTCTGACACTATCTGTATGAATTGGAGTTAAAGCCTACCTAATCCAGGTCACAGGTTATTGCAAGAGTTTTACCAGAACAAGGACAATGGGGGAGTTAACAAACACATACATACAAAGGGTTAATTTAAAATTTTCATTTGCTCAAAAATTTTGAGATCTTATAATACAAATAGCTTTGATATCCTGCAAATCTTTTTTCTGATATATCTGATGACTTTAACATGCTTTAAAATGTCTGCTTTATCCTGTCCTGAATGTCTTTAATGATGATAGCTAACATTTGCTGTACTTCAAGTGCACTGCAGAACACTGCAGACATCAATCATCTCAGTCATCTTTCCAACCCTGTGTAGTAGGTACTACTAGCAGCATTTAATTTTTGAGAGATTAAGGAACCTGCCCAAGGTTAGATTGCTAATAAGGGTGGAGCTGGAGCTCAAACACAGATATTTCTTTGCCTTTCTTTTGTATCCTATATCTATTTTGAGTATTCTCTATAATCTTCAAATTTTATTTTTACAATACAAAACTATTTCATTGCATAGATACACCACCTCATACCTTATTAAACAGGGCATACAAATAAGATATAACCATCAGATTCAGGGTCATCAGTGTCAGTATTGCACCACACAACACAGATGCTCTCAATTCTGAGATTTTTGAGGCTGTTTACCTCATACAAAATGGTTTTATGATGCTATGTCTAAATTCCTTTCATCTCTTTCATTGTTATTTTCTCTGCCTCTTGCCGTCACTGTTTTATGTTCCATCCCCCCTGTAATTTGCTATGTATCCAAGTAAAACCAGTAACACTTTGTTAGAGTTTTGGGATTAAAAGTTAAGGGATGGCCCGTGGCTCACTTGGGAGAGCATGGTGCTGACAACAGCAAGTCAAGTGTTAAGATCCCCTTACTGGTCATCTTTTAAAAAAAAAGTTAACTAAACTGTACCTGAGGGCCTTTTTAGTAGTGCAGTTTTAGCACAAGAACCTCATATATACTTGGGCTCTTTTCTTATTCCTCCTCAGTATCTGCTGGGTAGTCAAGGTTAAATTACTTTTTACTGGAATGTGTCAAGGGATGAATGAAAATAATTTGTCTTGCATATACCAGCATTTTGTATTTGAATTCTTGACTTTTAGAAGCACCATCCTTGTTGCATGTTTGCTGCTGCTTTTTACAACTGAATGTACTGATAGCTTACAATTAGTACATGCTTTTTAACATTCTCTATCACATGAATGAAATTGTCAACTCCAGGCACAATGGAAAAAACACCGTCTGTGAAATGAATTGACTCTTTAATACAGCCCTTAGTTGTCCTTAACATTTTTTAATGTCCTTTTCTTTGTTATTTCCCTGGTTAAGGCATCTAACAGAATATTATGAATGTATACAAAATTTAAATTACTTTTCTTGTATGCCGATATAGAAAGTTTTAGGTTTATATCTTTGATTTATTGAATGCCCATTGTCATAGGTGGTTGGGAATGGACTATTACTCTCGTATCATGATTATTTGTTTTTTTCTTTCTACAGTCAAAATAGGTAGAAACTTAATTGTTCATGTCAGTATTTCCTTCAGAATTTTCTCAACCTAAAGTTCTGCCTAACAAATTTAGAAGCCTTGTGATAGTGTATAAATAATGCATTCTAAACTTTTCTGTTTGTTCTACCATATAGGTATTTCAGGTGTTGAATGAAAAGAAACAGATATATGCTATAAAATATGTGAACTTAGAAGAAGCAGATAGCCAAACTATTGATAGTTACCGGAATGAAATAGCTTATTTGAATAAACTGCAACAACATAGTGATAAGATCATCCGACTTTATGATTAGTAAGAATTATTTTTAATTTAAAAAGAAATCTTTTTCCCCCATATTTCTTCAGGTAAATACTCAGTAAATCTTTTGTTTGTTTTTAATTGCAGTGAAATCACAGACCACTACATCTACATGGTAATGGAGTGTGGAAATATTGATCTTAATAGTTGGCTTAAAAAGAAAAAATCTATCAATCCATGGGAGCGCAAGAGTTACTGGAAAAATATGTTGGAGGCAGTTCACACAATCCATCAGCATGGTATTTTTAAATCTCTTTATACATGTAAAGTTAAAATATATTAATAGTGTTATCTTAGAGAAATATACCTGTAATTTTAAGGTATTGGTTATTGACACCTTTAAGTAGATGAACTGAAAAATTGGAAGTTTATTGAAAGATGAAGGAACAAAACCATTTCTTAAAATACTCTTAACCGAAAGGATATAGAACATGAACTTAAATTCCCACATCCATAATGCAAAATGTATCTTTCTCAGTATTAATGTAGTCCATAGTCCTTATCTCCAAATACTTGGATTATAGCAGATCTGAGACTCTGGGGTTCAGGCATCCTAAAGATATGAGATGTTTATTTCATTTATTCTCCTAATCACTTTGTATTGTGTGCCATGTGTAAGTTGGTTTTATTTTTTTACTGTTAGGCCTACCTTCGGGGTTTGTTTTTACTTATATTTGTCCTTTGGTTTGTTTTAGGTCTTAACCCTTTTTTTAAAAAAAATAATCATTAACCTAGATCATTGTAATTTATCTCTTCATGTCTCTCTTCCTGTAAGTTAAAAGATAATTTACCAGTGATTAAGATCAGAGCTGTAGGAATGGAGGTGTTAGGATTGTTTTAGTCCCATTTCTGTTGCTTATAACAAAATACATGGAACTAACTGATTTATAAGAAAATGAAATTTATTGATTACAGTTTCGGAGGCTAGGAAGTCCAAAGTCCAGGAAACACATCTGGTGAAGGCTTTCTTTGGTGGTGACTTCAGTAACAGCAGGGTATCTATCACATTGAAAAATAGCAGAGCAGAGAGAGAGAACAGAAAGAGAGACAGACTCTCTTCTCTTTTCTTCTAAAGCCCTTAGAACCTTGCCTCTCTGACCTCCATTTTTTTTTTTTTTGGTCTTTTTTCGTGTCCGGCAACGGATCGCAACCCTCAGTGTCGCACCCGTACCGGACCGGGACCGGCAACGGGATCGCAACCCTCGGTGTTGCTTCCACACCTCGCTCAGCCAGTGAGCGGGAACTGTCTGACCTCCATTTTTAATCCATTCACTATAGTATGGTCCTACAATCTAATCATCTCTTCAGGACTCCACCTTTCAATTTCCATAATAGGATTTCCCACCCTCTTTACAGTTACAGTGGGGGCCAAGTTTCTTTTTTTTTTTTTTTTAAGGTGACCAGTAACGGGATCTTAACCCTTGACTTGGTGTTGTCAGCACCACGCTCTCCCAAGTGAGCTAACTGGCCATCCCTCAAGATGTTAACTCTAACACAATAGAGTTAAATTCCTTTTCACCTGTGAGATATTATTTTATTAAAGATATAAAGAGATCCGAACCCATGGCCTTGGTGTTATCAGCACCCTACTCTCCCAAGTGAGCCACGGGCCAGCCCTCAAGTTTCTAATACATAAAACTTGGGGACACAATTCAAGCTTCACTGAGTTAGGGGGGCACATGATTCAATCCACTACAGGATCATTAGGGTCTTGCCATCTGACAGTATAATTTATTTATTTTTTATTTCCTTTTTTGTCTTTTTTACTGACCGGTAACGGGATCGCAACCCTCGGTGTCGCGCCCGTACCGGGGACCGGCAACGGGATCACAACCCTCGGTGTTGCGCCCGCACCGCGCTCAGCCAGTGAGCAGGAACCGGTCTCCACATGGGATCCGAACCCTCGGCGGGAGCGCCGCCACGCTCCCAAGCGGCGCACTGTCCATTGCGCCACCAGGCCGGCCCTGACAGTATAATTTATGATGCTTGCTAATGGGCAGTGAATCACAGAGGTTAAGAGGATAGATTCTGAAGCCAGACTGCCTGTTTTTAACTCATGGCACTCTCATTTATGCCGTGTGACGTTGAACAAGTTACTTAAGCTCTCATTGTCATAGTTTTCTCACCTTAAAATGGGGATAATAGTAGTTATCTTTAGCATTATTGTGAGGATTAAATGAATCACTACAAGCAACAAACTTAGAACGGTGCCTGGCACATAGCAAGTGCTATGTTAAGTGTTTGTAAACTATATAAAAAATGAATGTTTAATTGGATTCACTAATTGAAGTCACAACATGACCTGTAGATTGTGAAGTGTTTTGTCATTAGAATGTTTTACACTGTCTACTCCTATAATTGATTTTTATTTTAAAGGCATCGTTCACAGTGATCTGAAACCTGCTAACTTTCTAATAGTTGATGGAATGCTAAAGCTAATTGATTTTGGGATTGCAAACCAAATGCAACCGGATACAACAAGTATCGTTAAAGATTCTCAGGTAAGACTTTTAATGAATGGTTGGTTACCACACAATAGAGTTAAATTCCTTTTCACCTGTGAGGTATTATTTTATTAATGGGTATAATAGTTTTACCTACTTCATTCTTCAAAGGATTTGAAATCTTTTTATAACAAGATACTAATAACTAAAAAATCAAAACCATGATCAATATAGTTTAGGATAGAAAGTCAAGATCAGATAGAAATATATTTAGCAAATCTAAATGAGATGAAGAAGCAGTAATAACTGCCTTGGAAATCATGCTGGTCATGATCTAAAATTGACCTGAAAATTTGGCTCAGAATTTTCTGGTAGCAACCAAAGAGGGAATTGCAGTTACATGTTTTTCATTGTCCATGAGGTAAAATTATTTCTGTTCTACAGAAGTAAAGCTTTTCCTATCAGTTAAATTGGAAAAAAAAATTTTTTTAAGTGGGCCTTCATATTGAATATGCCATAATAAGTATTGTACTCAGCAGCATTTTTTATAACAGCAAACTTAATCAAGTTGTCCCACTAAAAACTAAAGCAGTGACACCTCAGTATAACTAAAAGATAAACTTGCTTGGAACCAAGGTGATGTTTTCAAGTAGTTAGATTTCTGGTGTGGGTCTGCCTTATTCCTAGGAGTAAAACTAGACTTTGTTAGGTGAAATAGATGGATGGCATGCCCTTCAAATAATTCAATTTAACAATCATTTCTCTTTATATCAAAAGTATTATATTCAGGGCCGAGCCCGTGGCGCACTCGGGAGAGTGTGGCACTGGGAGCACAGCAGCGCTTCCGCCGCGGGTTCAGATCCTATGTAGGGATGACCGGTGCGCTCACAGCGCTCACTGGCTGAGCGCGGTGTGGCTGGTCTCAAAGAGGACAAAAAAAAAAAGTATATTCAGATCCCTGTACCAGCCAGCTGCCAAACAAACAGAAGTATGGCTGAAGATTGAGTCGTAAATTGGCTTGCAGATATCTTCTATAGCAAAGCCCTAGAATATAGATATTCTGTGTCTGCAAGCATTGTATCTGTGCATTGTAAAGTTGGCATAATCCTACTGTAGAAACTTTTACATGATTTAGGTGCCCATCACATCTCAATTTGGACATAGGCCCAAGGAGTAATGGGAAACAAAGTGGGGTTGTTTTGTTTGTTTCTATATTGATTGGTTGGTTGGTTTTAAAAAAAAAAAAGTTGACTCTATTCTAGCATAGAAATGAATGATAATCAAGTCCCTCAAAGTTTATGGCCATTAATGGAATTTTAGCCTGGACAGTTTTTAAGACAGACATTACTAGTTGCCCATTATAATCACAGAAAAAGCATAGCTTCAGAAAGAAGTCTATTTTCTGATTATGAACCTAGTTCATTTTGCTGGAGCTGTGAATAAATGTGGTATGTATCTTAACATTGTTGGCAGTTATTTGAATTTTTCAGGTATATTACTGAAGTCTGAAATTGTATACAAGTTTTCAAGAGTCTAGCATTCATGTTTTTAAAAATCTAAAGCAAAATGAAATATTTTCACTGATTGGTGTTTTCTTTGACTTGGCAAACAGGTTGGCACGGTTAATTATATGCCACCAGAAGCTATCAAAGATATGTCTTCCTCAAGAGAGAATGGGAAATCCAAGTCAAAGGTAGTGTACAGATTGTTTATATTCCATTCATCTGGAGTCAATAAGGAATGGACTATTCTCGAATAAATTTACCAGATAACTGAAGGTTATTTCTTAAGTTCTAAAATTTTTTAGGCTGATACGGACACCTAGCCTTTTTAAGCAGATTCAATGGGGTTCAATTTCACCCTTCTTTATTGACTTCAGATTGTTCTTTAATATTGTGCTTTTAATATGATCGTTCTTTGTTGTGTGCTCCTGCAAGAAATGCACTGGGTTTTTTTTTTTTTTCTTTTAAAATTAAAAAAAAATTTAATAAATTAGGTCTGATTTGGACACCTTAAAATAACAGTGAATTTATGTACTTTGAAGTCTTTTTTTGTTTCATCTCTGTTTCTTAACGTTTTATTTTTCACCATTTATTTATTTATGAATTCTACATTTCCAAGTATACTTGGAGTATGTAATTTTTCCTTGCCTGCCACTGGCTACTTTCCCACCTACTTTACTTCATCACCTCTGTGAGCTTTGTGTTAGTTCCCTTGGTGCTCCTTGTGAGGGCCCATTCTATCTGCCGTGATGCCCTGGGCTCCCGGGCTAATCCTTGTTTCACTGCAGTGGTGTAACCAAGTGAATGCAACTACACATTGTTGCTCCAGAGTCATAGATCTGTCTCTTCATTAATTGTCTTTGGACATAACTTGCCTAATTTCCTCTTCTGTAAATTAGGCTTATAAACAGTATCATTTTAAAAGAAATTCAGAATTAAAGTGAGAAAGAAAATAAAGCACTTTTAATGTAAAGTACATTGTCCAGTTCAAAATCGTTGCTTGATAAATGTGCTTTTATTTTCTTAATTATGTTTTCCTTCCTAGAAAATTGTGGTTTTTCAATATTTTTTCAAATACCTGGCATAACATTTTGCCAAATATTCTCTTATAAAATTACTTTTATATCTGTTTAGCTCTAACTTTTCTTCTAAAACATAGATTTATTGTCTCCTTTTTCATTTTCTTTATTAGCCTTGCCATGGTTTTGTTGATCTTGATTTCTATCAATTCTATTTTCATTTGTTTTCTAATTTCTGCTTTTATATTTGTTAATTTCTTCTTTGCATTCTCTTTAGGTTTATGTTTTCCTACCTTCTTGATTTAAATAACTAATTTTATTGTTCTTGCTTATAATTAAAAGCATCAACACTGTGAAGTTTGCTCTGAGTTTTACTTGAGCTGCTACTTACAGGTTTGACTGTTGTTTCTTATTTTCATTAATTTCTAAAATTTGTAATTTCAGCTTAAAGTCTTTTCATTTTTTTTTTTACTTTAAAATAAGATTTGTACCTAGAGTTCAGATTTGAATTGCACTTAGAATTCAGGTTTTTTTCAATTAGCAACTCAGTGATGTAATATGTAATGTGAATCTCAATTCATTTGAACTGCCTGTGTTTCACAGTGGCCTTAGTGATTCTGAATAGAAGACAAATTTTTATCACAACATGAATCCCTGCTATTGAAGAGCACAAAATACCTCCCTGGTTAGCTCTCTTCTCAAAGTGGTCCACCACACTTTCTGGTCAATTCCTGTTGGCTATTTGGGGCTGCTTCTGCTGTTGGGTCCATCAGGTGCCTTCATTGCTTCCCTCTGCTTTCTACTTCAGATGTGTCTACTATCCAAGACTTGTTGCTTTTGGTAGTTTGTCTCCACCTACTTACTTTCTGGGGTTCATGGATATATTTTTCACTTGGTTGTGTTGTCAATATTTTCCACATGTAGGCTGCTCTATTTTGTCTCTGGGGATTTGGAGAGATTGAAGAACTATGCTGTGACAGCCACTGCCATTTTTCTAGAATCTGATAATCCTTTTTAATACATCATTTATTTAGAAAAGGATTTAATTTCCATAAATTGGGGAAAGATGTTATTTTTATTAATTTTTGGTTTTCTTACTTGTGTTCGGATAATGGAATCTGTTTTATCTGTTGTATTCTCAATGGGATATTAAAATCCCCCTATAAAGAATTTAATGCGTTTTTTTCTTAATACTCATATAGTTACATTAAATATAGGTTCAGTGCATAGGTGTTCATAACTATTATATCTTCTTGGTTGGTTGTACCTTTTATTACTATAAAATAGCTTTCTCTCTTCTGTTTAAAGCATTTTGCCGTGTTCTTTTTTTCTAATATTAACATTGCAGTTTCTGCTTTTTTTCTTTTTCTTTCTCCTTTTGCATTTAGTTTTATGTTTATTCCCCCTCCCCCCCCCCCCCCCCCCCCCCC